ATTCAAGGCCCAATAAACTACAGGCCATGAGTAGCCATGACCTAAACAAACCCTTTTGAACTATCTGTAAGCTACAAAGTACTGGTATTGGTATTAAAGATAAAGTCACTGATTCCTTCATAAACTGGTAAAGTAAAATGTGTTGGTAACATGAAACTAATTCCTTTCAAACAAACTAGAGAGCTTGTTTAGGTGGATCTCTCTTCTTGGAAACTTCTATGGTTTCATAAAACAGATTAAGTTGCAATAATGTCTAAGTACAACTCTGATCCAAATAAATTTAATCATTTATCATAAATAAAAATTTCTAAATACAATTAATCGATTCAAACTAGTAACGTTTGTGTAGATAGTTATTTCCTCAAAGGTAATCCAAAGCGTGTAAAATACTTATACAAGTTCTTTTCACTTTCAATAAAATTGTATTTTAGGCAGTAACCATAAATAAGAGATGAAATACTACCTCTGAGAATTTCAAATCAAGCAAACTTGGAAAAAGGTAGAAAATCTGATCAATTATAACTTTTTGTAAAGTGTAAAGTACTTTATTTTGGAAAATACCTATTTTTCAGAAAAAGGATACAAGATTAAATTTTGTTTTTACTAAAATACTGGGCTTTAAAGGATTACAGTCACAATCAACTATAAACATGACATTTTAGGTAAAAGAGCATAAAGAAAATCATGGGCCATCACTTATACATGAATTAGAACCTCATTCTTCATGAAAATATTTATTAAATATTAATAAGCAGTTAACTGATCTAAATATTTGTCAGTACTCTAATGAAAATGCAAGAGACTGGAATAGGATGTCAAGTATTGATAGAATACAATACAAGCAGCCTAAGTAATTCACAATCAGCTAACTAGATGGTGACTAACATACTTTCCTTTATGTCTCTACATATGTGAGAATAGCCTTTCTTACCTGGAAGAAGTAGGACTGTAGAGGTTGATCTTTATTTTCTTCATCCACATACAGTCCTCCTACCACATACACCTGATTTTGTTGGGTAACGATGCTGGAATGATTTCTGGGGATCTGCTCAGCCAGCGCAGTAAGGTAGCATTCATTTTCCGTGGGATCATAAGCCACAGCAGCTGTGTCATTAACCAAGAGGATGAGGTCCTTGACAAACATTCCATGCCTGGGAATATCATTCAGGTAACCAGGAAGTAAATCTTCATCACCAACATCACCATTCACCTCACTAGCCCCAGCCTTCTCTGTGTTTTTGCTAGGTTCTGGGAGTTTGCCTGCAAAGGCATCTTTGAGAACTTTGATTTTTTTCTGGAGTTCTGGGTTGCTTTTGATTATATCATCTTTTTCAACATGATCTTTAAAATATTTTTCTGTCATAAGGCGAAAACGAATACAATCAAACACTTCGCTAAGGTTTTTAACCCTATTTTCTTTGTCTGTTCGCACCCATTTCATCACTGCCTCAAATACTGCTTCTTCCTTTTCTACATTTAGGCTGTCATTGGAAATGACTGAGATCAGCTCCTGCGGAGATAGTTGCATGAAGTCCTCTTCCTTACAAATCTGTACAAAGCGATCAGACACAAATTCACGGGCAGAGATGGCAAGTCTCGGGCAGTCAAGAAGAAGTCCTAATCTTAGAATAGCTAGACAGTTACCAGGAGCAAGTCTTTTCTGAAGATAAGAAACGCAGACAGTGAACACGGAGGGGATCTGAAAGCGGCTGGCCAATGCAAAAATATCTTGCACGTTTCCGTCGTTGAGATCAATACTGGCAGAGTATAGGTACTTAATGATTAAATCCAGTACAGCAGGATCCACATTATCTAGTACTACCTCCTTTTTTTTCGCCTCATCAATTTCAGATAAAAAATACTCACGGAAGTAAGGACTACAAGCTGACAGAATCAATCTGTGGCAAGGAAGACTTTTGTCACCTGCTTTTAGGGTGCAATCGATGAATTTTTTCTCATCCAGGAGATCTTTTAGACCATCCTGAAGAAGGGTGGATTGGTAAAGCCGCAGTTCCTCTGCGAGTTCCCGCTGGGAATCCATTTTGTGAGTAACCTGGGTAAGGAAGGGGACACTAAGGCCTTAGCTCCTCACAGCACACAGGTCTAGCAGTAAAAAGGCAGATCAGTGTGCTCTGCCCAGCTTGAAGCCTTTGCAATTTAATCCCGCCAGCTAAATATAGATACCAACACTAACAAGGGGAATGCAGGAGAGCTAGCTTGGAAGAAGAGTTGCTCTTGCAGCTGTCAGAGATTGAAAGGAACAACTGGAACTTTTAATCACTAAGGAAACAGCTAAGAAACAAGAGGTTTAAATGAAATGGAAAGCTTTAAAATACATGAAGCATTAGAAAATAGGTTAATAAAGGATACCACGAGAAAATGTTCATTGAACTAACAGAAAACTGAATCATAAAAATGAGTCAGTCCGCTAAAACTGGTCTGGTGGCAAGCTACTTGGCTATCTGAATTAATGATGCAAAGGTCAAGAATATTGAGGTGAGTTTATTTGAATACTCATAAGCAATATCCTCTTTCCAATAACTGTTATAAATGTTTATTTTCTACTTAAAACAGGATATATAATATTCTTTGAGAAGTAGGAAACTGAAAGACTGCTACTTAGGTAGATATTTTTTTGGAAAAATCCTTTAAAATAATAATACCCCCCCCTCCAACATCATGACTAAATTAAATGGAAACTGCTAACTTTCTAAGACATCCTAAATTATTGCTATTCTTAAGTGGAAAAACTATAATTAGTATTGAATTAAATTATCAAATTACTTGTTCACACTCTGCCTTGCTCTACAAAGGATTTGATGTGGCAAATAACAATAATAAAACCAGGAAAAAAAGTTAAAAGTTGACACTAGGGAAAGAAAAATCCCACAACATATACAATATGATTAATAAAGATATTCTGTGGTTTTAAGTGTTGATCTTTCATTAAATAAAAATTTAAAAAAATGGAACAGATGTAACCCTATCAGAACAATGTAATCAACAGAACGAAGCAAAATCAAGACGAAGTGCTACATCCCTGGTATTATTTGAAAAACAGGCTTTATACAAAAAAAAAAAAAGAATATACAACTAGAACATAATTTAAGTTGTTGACTATAATAGAACACACCATATTAAGTATGGGATGCATAAGGCATGACTTGAAAAAAACTGATCCTTTGTTTATATACAAATAGCATCATATACTTCTTCATGAAATATTATAAAATTATGTTATCACATTATAAAAAACTCAGTCGGGCTGTAAATATACTGTACTTTCAAAGATTGGTATTCTTCAACATGCTCAAAAGAACATAAGCTCCATAAACACAGGGATTTGGGGAGGTTTGTTTTGTTCAATGCTATAACCACACGACCTCACGAGTGCTCCATAAATATTTGTTGAAGGAATGAATGAATGTCGTTAGATAAGGGAAATATGTATTTTTAAATTTCAAGGTCTCCATCCATGACTAAAGGTTTTTTCCTCTTATTTTACATCACAATGAAGTCAATGGTACTGTCAGCTGCTAAAACAACAGCTGAGAGGAGTTCGTTGACTCTTTTTCCATTTATAGATGCCACTAAAGGTTTTAACACACTAGAAAAAGCTAACAGCTGCTCTGTTTAAACAATAAATGACTCATTTCTCTCTACACGTAACACCTAACATTTGAAAAGATTAATGAGTCAGATGCAAGCACCATGATATGACATTTGAGATTATTACTTACTAATCAGCAACGTTATAGTCTGTTTTGCTTGAAAAAGTATTGAAATAATATTCCGAGCTGCATTTTGTGACCTGTATACATTTTTCAAGCACACTTCCCCCTAATATAGGTTATTATAACTCCATCCCTTAAAAATCCTTCCCTGTTTAAATATAGAACCAATTAATAGCTTTTGTTTATTGATTTTTATTAAACTCAGGTTGTGTGTGTGTGTTGCTCAGTCGTGTCTGACTCTTTGCGACCCCACGAACTGTAACCTGTCAGGCTTCTTTGTCATGGAATTCTCCAGGCAAGAATACGGGAGTGGATTGCCATTCCCTTTCTCCAGAGAAGCTCAGGTTAGCACTTGATTATTACATGTCTATGGTTGTGCATACAGTTTCATTATCTGAAATGATTTTACACACTCAGTTTTTTCACTGTAGAGAAACAGGTCTCCTTTGTTTAATTTTAATGTTTTGACAAAAGTTCCTTACAATGTTTCTTTATACTGAAGCAATACCAAAAAAAAAAAAGAGAGATGCCAGACAGTCACCAAATCTTACCTGACCAAGAAATCAGAAAATATTGAATTTTTGAGCATTGCAAAGAAGTTTCAATGAATACAAAGAGAAAGTCAATAAATGAACTATTTATTTACAAACTATTTAAAGTTATTTCCTTATAAATATATTCTTGCCAAAATGATATTGAAATTATTTACAAAACAGTGCCCAAAACTTTATATAGGGAATTGATATCCTCCAAAGTTAGCTATAATTTTTGGCTTCTACATAAATGATTACCTAAAAGTGGTAAGCTTAAGGTTTGTAATTTATATATTCAATTTATATTAGAGCTATGTGATAAATATATTTAAACCAGAATTTTATAATTAAGAAAGCAGTATTTGATTATTCCATAAGAAGAGTCTTATACTTTAAAATAATATTTTCAGAACATTTAATGGTGCTGCATAAAGTCTTTATTAAGCTCAATATAATACAGTATTTTAATATCCACAGACTAATAATTTATAAGTACTAGGTATAAAATAAACATATTTACAACAAACCAGATACATTTCAATTACGATTTCAAATATAATTTTTTTAGAAGACTGGCAGTAAAATCTTAGATAAATGAGTTTTTCCTTAATCATTAAAAAACTCTCTTAAAAACTTTTTCTGTAAATGTAAAAACTATTCTATGCCTTATAGTAGGCAACTAGTATCTTTAATCTTGAGATATCTGTAAATAGAAATTCAGCTCAACTCAAGATCAATTCATTACTTCCCAAAGTCCCTGTAGGGTGAATCCATCCTTCAATTTCTCTATTGCAAGCCCCAGTTCTTCTGAAAACACAGGTTCACGATCTTGTTGCTTTTTGGGAGATAAAAGGATGAGATGGGAATAGAGAAGGTGAGCAAGGAAGAGGAAACAAACAAAAAATAGGTTTCACATAAGTGTGTGAATACTGAATACTGGAATATAGAAAGTTTTTTCATACACTATAGGTAAAATATCCTTACCTTGTTGCCATCAGCAAAATAAGCCTACAAGACAAAGAAAATTATATTTCACATACTTGACACATAATAGGTTAAGAGGTTAAGGAACAGGTAATTAACTTACAGAAAAATTCTGAAACTAACTATTTTATATTCTGTTACTGTGTTTCTAATGGTTTTCTCACCTATCTTTACAAAGCTGGTAGCAGAATTCACTTTTGTCAATATTAATGTCTTCAAGAGTTATGCTAAATTTAAGTGCTAAAACTGTGCTTTGTAATTGGTGTATAGTTAGCATTGTTAACTTGAAAGTAGATAAGAGAATGATTTAGCAGATATAAAATTTTACCCCTACTTTTGGTTTAAAAGAAGATGCTGGCAAAACAAAACAAAGCAATAAGTGCTTCAATGTGTCAGCAAATGCACACACTGAGGTTGCTGTAGTTTATAATTAACTATCTTATACTTAGCTTAAATTTTTTCATTCCCAGAGCGGTATTCTAGTCAGATTCATAGACCATGGTATATAGAAAGCATTATTATTATTTTTGGCTACTAATTAAATAATACATATTTGCAAACAAGAAATTTTACTGTTCAAACAGAAATCCATTTTAAGATAATACACTATAAAATTAAAAGGAGGGAGGTCTTTCTCATAAAGATTACTTATGGAAAGTGTAGATTTTAAATTAATTAACTATATTTAACATATTTTCTACTATCTTAAAGTATGAAGAAACTTTTCACATATCTGAAATCCTCTGAATAAGTATGTTCTCAAATTATTTCTCAGTTTGGTAATTTAAAAGTATTTTCTCACACAGAAAATTCCGTATCTTGGAAAAAAAAATTATTCTCCAACTCATGTTTAAAACACTCTAAAAAGTCTCAAGCTTTATGATGTTTTACACATTTAAACCATTATTTAATTGAACATGACTCAGATAAAAAAACACACAAGAAATTTAGTGATGCTCCTTCATAATGCTCACCACAAAAGCATCTGAGTGATCATCAGAGTCTATCTCTACATCATCTTGAATTTGTTTGACGGTCAGAGCTTCAAGGGGCTGTGGCTGAAAATCAGTAGATTTTAAAAAGAATCAGTAGATGTTAAACTGCATCAATAAGACCATATTAAACAAATAAATAATTTTAGTAGAATGTGCTATAAGAATTGTAAATACCAGTAAAAGGATATCACAATTACCAACTACTCAAGTCTTACAAAAATCACTGCATAATTTATATTCTATTAAAACTTACATGAATAGTAAAATGAGTCAGTTAAATCTTAAGCTTTTAAATCTGAAGTTAATATTATCAAAAGAGTTAAAATGAAAAATTTACACAAACTTGATAATGATACTTAGAAATATTCATAAAGAAAAAAACCTCTCATTGGGCTTTATCTGATTTTCTGATAGTTAAAAACTCTCTGGTAGTTAAAAAACCTAACTTGTATAATAGCATATTTTAAAATTTCCTCAAAATAGTCATTGAATAGAATTTGTGAAAAAAGAAATTCATGAAAAAAAAAAACTAAGATTTGTATGGAATATTCTAAAGGTAAAGCAAAATACATATAGTGCTGATATCTATTAATTCATTTTTCAAATATCTGAATTTCTTTAGTGTATGAGGTACTATGCTGGCTACCTCCTCTGTCCATGAGATTCTCCACAGAAGGATATGGGAGTGGGTTGCCATACCCTCCTCCAGGGGATCTTCCTGACCCAGTGATTGAACCCACATCTTTTACATCCCCTGCACTGACAGGCGGATTCTTCACCACTAGCACCACCTGGGAACCCCCATGCTGGTACCACCTAAAGTATAAAGTTTTCACCCTTACCACAGAAGGAGTATAATACCGTTGGAGTGGAGTGAAGGATAAAATACAATTATAAATAGCTAAATATCAGGTTGAACTATAAGACATTGCCATTTTAATTTAAAAAATGGTCAAATATTAAGAATATCATATGGTTCAATCTACAGACAACAGCTGTAACAAATGCGGTATCTATTGTAACAGAAGAGTCTGGCCACAGCACAACTTCTGGCTTGTGCATGCCAGAAACCTTCGTGAAGAAAAGGCTGGCATGTGCCTGAGGGCTTTTAGGACAAGGATGATTTTCACAGATGGGATTAGGGGAAAGGGCATTCCTGGCAGAGGGGATCAGCATCAGTGAAGGTGAGAAACCACAGGATCTGGCTGAAGATGAATAATACATCTTCGAGAACATGGGAGTCCTGCAAGGCAGAGGAGCCAAGCAAGAGTATTGTACTCAACAATGCCCAGGAGCATCACTCACACTGTGGTTGTGCAGATAAGGAGGGGAAGGTAGACTGGAGTCTACTGAAATTCTTAACTACCAGCTCAGACAATGTGGACTGTTTATGGGTAATTTGTGGGGAAGAGTTGATGTAGGAGTGTACTGCTGACAAGAGATTGACCTGATTCCCTAGTCCGAGAACAGCTGGTATTTCAACCATGTTTAGAACCGTGTGACTGTGTACAAGTAAATTAACCTATCTAAGCCGCGGCCTCCTTAACGGTGAGACAGAGATTACAATGATGATGATGATACAGTTCATAGTGATTTTGGCAGGATTAAATGAGGCATATAAAATTCTTAGAGCAGTGAACAACAAAGAGTAGGCATTCAACACAGTCATTCAACAGTTCTGACTATTCATTAAGAGTCTATTATGTGCTACTTTTGATTGCTGGAGACAGAGTGGTTAAAGAAAATAGACAAAAATCCCTGACTTCATGAACATTGTTTATAATGGAGGAGACTGATTAGTGTTACCAAAAATAAAGCAAGCAAGCCAGAGAGCAAATAAACAAGCAAAATAAGGGATAAAAAAGTGACAGGGGTTGTTGTTGTAGATGGATAGTCAGGGAAGAGCTCCCTACACAGGTGTCTTTGAAGTAAGGACTTAAATGCAGTGACAAAGTGAGTTACTCTGGCTAACTACTGTTACACACTGAGGGCCAAAGAAGGGGAAAAAAGGAGAAATAAAAGGTAGCAAGAGAATGGGTAGCAGTGTCTCCCAGGTGCTGGCCACTTTACGGACACAATCAATAACTTTGTGAAAGAGATTATCTTTATTTTATAATGTGAAAACTGAAGCTCAAATCTGCCTAGAATCACAAATAAATAGTGAAATTAAGAACAAAGTCAGAATTGTCAGATTCCAAGGACCATGCTTGTTCAACAACATTATTCCACAGTCAAAAGTAGCAAAGGAAACTGCAGTTTGAATGGAAAGAAAGGGATAGGAACAGAGGAGAGGATGGTATAATTGGCTGTTTAAAATGAGATAACAGGAAAAATAAAAAATGGTAAATCCCAGGGTTTTGAGCACATCTGACTTTGACAATAAGGTAGTAAATAAATAAATCGGTAGGATTTTGATTTTGAGAAAAAAATGACAATTTTAGGTATGCCAAGTTTGAGATACTCAACCATGTCCTACTGTATCTTACTGATTTGCAAAGTTATTGATTAAATTACTAAGATAAAATTTTAAAGGAGAAACTCAATTCATGTTATTTGGAATGCTCACCTATGTGAAAATACTCAATAATACTTGGAACCATGATAAGCTGAGAGAGTATGCCAAGGTCAGAAAGATCTGGGAGTCATCTACATAAGTGCCAGCTGAAGAAACCGGGGAAGCAAGTGATATTGCTGAGGAATATACAGAGGAGGCAGAGCCAAAGGGAGAATGCTGGAAGCCGTGCAGGTTGGGAAGAAAGCAGAAAGGATGGTTAAGGAGATAAAATACCTAAGAGTGTACAATATTGTGTCAACAACCCAAAGACAAATTTCAGTTGGAAGGGGAAGGGGATATATATGGAATTTGACAGGGAGAGAAAAAAGAAGCACAACGAAGTTGAAGTCAGAGGGTATGAGTTAGTACTTGGCTGCTGAATCTGACTTTTTGATCTTCCCTGGCCACCTGCTATAGTCCAAGAGCAGGAGAAGAGACAGACAACATATGTGATATATGATATAGCTCGACATGCACAGTACTGTTTGGGACACTGAAGAAAGAGCGGGTGGACAGCAGCAATAGACCAGACAGTGAGGGCCTCAGCAAAAGCACAGACAGCAAGGGAGCCTGGGACAGAGTGTCCCTGGCAAGGGCACTCTGTCAGAGCAGATGGCGAGGGGTCTCTAATGGAGCGGCTGGGAGGACACCAGTGAACCACCAGATGGCGAGGGGCCCACGTGCAGAGGCTGAAGAGTAAAGTCAAAAGACAGCTGATGGACCTGGAGCGCAGTGACTGGGGCAGAAACCAGAAGTCGTGAGCAAGACAAAGAGCAGACAGGCAAGCGTGATATTCAAAGTATTTCATAACTGACTTGGAAGAGGCTCTGATAAATAGGAACAGACACAGGCAATATTGATGGAGCAATCTCCTGCAGTTGCTATATTGTGGGTCACTAGAGGAAGAAAATAGTGTCTGTGAGGCCTGTAAAGTTTGACCAAATGCTAACGGGTGGCTGAAGTAGAATAAAAATAAAGTTGTCAGAGCAAGAGTTTTAAGTCTCTCTACATCAGAAGAGCCTTGCACATGGGGACATCTTTGGATAGACTGCTACACAGATGGGCAGGAATGAATGGTGAAGCAGCCAGGGAGAAGACAGGTGGTAGGCACAAATAAGAGTCAGCCATACTGATGAAGCAGAGTCTGTATATTCATCATTTTAAACATGGTTTAAAATTAAATTGTGCATACAGCTAACTGAGGTTTATAGATTATGTAAAGACAATTCAGCAAATTCTATACATCACACACTGAACAAAATACCTTTTCTTCCATCTCATAATCCACTCCAAATATAGGATTGGCAGAATAGACTTTGTGAAGTGAGTTGATCTCCTTAACTGATTCTTTTAGTTTTTCCACAGGATCTATTTTGAAGCCAAGAACATATCCTCCACTCTACAGGAAAAAATAATGAAAAAACAGAAAACAAGCCTGAGGAATCATATTTACAACATATAATAAACTACAGTTCTAATTGTTCTTATTTCAGAACACAGTATGTAAGTTGATTTTTTTAAATTAAATTTTTTATTATAAAAACTTCCAGCATACACAAAAATAGAAGAGTAGGATAACTGTCCATGTAGCTATCATCCAGCTTCAACAAGTAACAACATATGGCCAACTCTGTTCCATTTTTAACTTCCCCATCCCCCAAATCTTCTCCCCTTACCCACTCAGAATTATTTTGAAGTATCCAGATATCACATAAATTCATCTGAAAATATCAAAGGTAATATTTCAAGATTAAAAAAATACACTACTGTAGATTATGAAGGTCAAGGTAATTAAGTTTTTCCTGAGCTCAACCTTGAAAATGAATAGACTATATATTAAAAGAAAAAAGGGAATGGCATATCTGTTGTTGGAGAAAAAGCGTTAAGCAATTTGCTCTTGGGCGAGAGTATAAGTTTTTGGGCTCAACTCCTGGTTTTACAACAAACTTACTAGCTGTGTGATGTTGGGAGATTTACTTTCCTTATCTTTCTAAGTTTTTTTTTTTTTGGCCGTGCCACAAGGCTTGCAGGATCTTAGTTCCCTGACCAGACATTAAACCCAGGTCGTGGCAGTATAAGAGTGCTGACTTTTAATCACTGAACTGCCAGGGAATTCCCATATAAGCTTTAATTTTCTAAGCATAAAATGGTTATCATGTTGTTGTGAACTTAGTAAACACTCAATAAATGGCAGCTACCAATCTATAGGCCAGGGGAAAGGAGCAGAAATTCCTGTTTAAATTTAGAATTCAGAAGAGAAACACCTATTTCAAAAAATGTATAAGAATAAACTACACCTGGCATAATGGGGCACAGCAGTTTCTAACCAGATACAGTGTAACCTGTGTTTGATAGTATAAAATCTCAAATAGGGTGCGTGTATCTTGTATACCTGTGCTGCTCCGTCTTCTGAATCAGTAAGACCTAGAAGCAAAAGCTAGCTCTCCACTTACTACTTATGAGACCACGGACAAGGTTCCTAACTTCTCCAAGCCTCAGTTTCCTTGACTGTAAAATGGGGAAAAAGAGTAACTGTATCATATCATAGGGTTGTATAAAGACTGAGATAATGTCACGACCATAATCATAATTAATATGTCTGCCCAACAGAGAAACATAAGCAGGATTCTTTCCATGGGAACAATTAGTATATGACTTCAAACTCTTCATATAACCTCATGTTATAGATAATATTCTTCTTGTATATAACTTGGTTACTATATAAATAAAATTAAAAATATAGACTGTCATACAGTTTTTTAAATCTATTAAAGATTAATAAAAATATAAAACATCTTACCTGCTGAGAGCTTTCTATGACAAGAGCTAAACCAAATTTTGAATCTCTAATCTTTATTGACCGCTAGATGTAAAATTAAAAAGAAAAAAAAAGTTTATTTTTATCTGACAGTAGTGACGTTTTAACAGAAGTTTTCCAACTTTTACACAGTTAACTACTTTTCATAGTCTGAAAAACAGAATTCTTCCCTTTTCTTTTTCCTCACACTCCCATGGAGATCAAGTAAATAAAAATTCTCATACTGGAAATAGGCAACAAATCTGTAAGATAATACAAAGACAATGCCTCTGAAATATGCACAAAATTCTGACTTAAATGTTCTCTGCTTCAGGGAGTCCGCAACTTCTCTGAATATTTTAAACCAAAGATCAACAATCTTTTAGTTATGGAGAGCCAGTGTCTTTGGTGGTTCCTATGGCTAGGTGAGCTTTTAAAAGTCACACGTGCCTTCTGTTTCTTACATCATAGATGGCTAAATTCTGAAAGAATCCCCATTCCATTTACTGAAGAAAAAAGAGGAAGTATGGGTGTTCATCACTGGGCATCAAGGAAGCCTGGGATAGGTCAGATGGAAGTAACTCAGCTGGTAAGTGTGACATGAGGGTGAAACTTGGCTAGCAGATGAGCAGGGACACCAGTGACCTGGAAGAAGGTTAGAGGGATAGAAGCATAATGACATGCAGGACCTGTGACAAGAGACACAAAATGTACTCACTGGTAGGGTTAGAGAGAACCATGGAGAATCTAACAGTATGACCAGCAGACCAAAGGCCCTGGAAGGACAGCATTTGTGGTAGGTGATGGTGCATCATACACCCAGAAAGATGGGTATTGTACGGTGAGAAAGAAAAAGAGAGACAGACTAAATGGTAATCGTAATGAAAACCTGGCCATCCATTTAGATTACTTCATACCCTGCCAGGAGTATACACAGTCCTGGTTAAGAACCATAGAACACTGGCATCCTGGTTGTGAACGGCTAATCTAACCAGGTGACTGAGGTTGACAGAGGCTTTCAAGAAAGAAACTGGCAAGAAGATATGTATATATATATATACATCTATAGGAGTGGAAAAACCATAGCTTTGACGGACCTTTGTTGGCAAAGTAACATCTCTGCTTTTTAATATGCTGTCTAGGTTGGTCATAGCATAAAGAAAGCTGAGCGCTGAAGAATTAACGCTTTTGAACTGTGGTGCTGGAGAATACTCTTGAGAGTCTCTTGGACTGCAAGGAGATCCAACCAGTTAATCCTAAAGGAAATCAGTCCTGAATATTCATTGGAAGGACTGATGCTGAAGCTGAAACTCCAATACTTGAGCCACCTGATGTGAAGAACTGACTCAATGGAAGAACTGATGCTGGGAAAGACTGAAGGCAGAAGGAGAAGGGGATGACAGAGGATGAGATGGTTGGAAGCCATCACCAACTCGATGGACATGAGTTTGAGTAAGCTCTGGGAGTTGGTGATGGACAGGGAAGGCTGGCATGCCGTGGTCCAAGGGGTTGCAAAGAGTCGGACATGACAGAGCAACTGAACTGATAGGCGTGGAGTCAGGGCAACGGCTGAGGCACAGAGCTGAAGTTAGAAAATGATTGCCCAGTGACAAACTGGCAGTATCATATTGCAAGTTGTTCAGGCCAGGCTGAATTCATTCCAGAGTCCATATTTGGCAACTGTATTCTTAAAAAACAAAAAGTATACTACCTTAAGAACAGAAAGCACAGGGTTGTTTACTACTCAGTAATTAATTTTTCAGCATAATAGAGGCTAAGCAAGCTATAGCATATGTAAATGCAATACAAAACAGCAATGAACAATACTAACATCAATTATATCAAATGCCTGTGTAGACGCTCACATTTTCCTAGCTATGATATAAATTCTTATATTTCTTTAGATGACCAGAAATAATTTTCTTCCTATCAGATCCTATAATTTTTTTAAGGTATTGCTTTTCTCCACCAGACTGAAAGCTCCTTAAAGGCAGAAACTGCGTACTGGTTCATGACTTTCATTACTGAGCACAGGGTAGGTGCTCACTATTTGGCAAATCAATGATCAGATATTTTAAAGTAATTCAGATATCAAATAATTTAGCAAAATATAGGCTTGGGAATATTTTGCAAATAATTATCTTTCTCACAGGTCAAGAAATCTTTTTTAAAAATAAAAATTTCCAGGTATCACATACATTGTGTCTAATACTCAATAAATATTTATTAATGAAACTGTTTAGTCTTAAGACTACTTATATTCTACAATAAGGGTGATCATCATAGGATAACCTCACAGGATTTTTATTAACTATTTTTATGTTTCATGTAATTTGCAGTAGGATCTGATGAGCAGTTTTTTAAATACATAAAATGAAATTCTTCAGCTTATTGGAGTTTACGATTTATTTCACTGAATCACACACTTACCATTAAAGTAGTGCAGAGTAAAAAGAATCACTTTTATCTACTCCCCAAACAAACTGGTCTCAGATGTAATTAGTTCTTATTCTAAATTCTAACAGCTTTAATTTAAGGTAAAATCATTATCAATAAAAGCCATATTGATTCCTTTCACCAAACCTGTGGTATGAATCCAGCTTATACTATAGGCTGTATCTGAATACAATAAAAACACTTCATTAACAGAATCAATGAATCCATTCTGGCTTTAAAAGGGTTTGAGCAGAAAGTTGCAAGCCATAAAGTAAGCCATGCCAAAGAACCACTATATATTGGGTTGGCCTTTAAAGGTTGTTCAAGTTTTTCCATAAGCTGCCCTGGAAAGTGCTTTGAATAAAATCTAAGAAAAATCACTTTAATTTGTTTGATAATTATTTAAAATTAAAAATTTATTGAGGTATACTTAATTTACAAGGTTGTGCCAATTTCAGGTACACAGCAAAGTGAGTCTGCCATACAAATACACATATCCACGCTTCTCCAGATTCCCTTCCCATATAGACCATTACAGAGTACTGAGCAGAGTTCTCTGTACTATACAGTAGATCCTTATTTATTTTATATACATTGGGGGCTTCCCTGATAGCTCAGTTGGTTAAAGAATCTGCCTGCCATGCAGGAGACCCCGGTTCAATTCCTGGATTGGAAAGATCCACTGGAGAAGGAATAGGCTACTCCAATATTCTTGGGCTTCCTTTGTGGCTCAGCTGGTAAAGAATCCACCTGCAATGTGGGGGACCTGGGCTTGATCCCTGGGTTGGGAAGATCACCTGGAGAAGGGCAAAGCTACTGGCTCCAGTATTCTGGCCTGGAGAATTTCATGGACTGTATAGTCAATGGGGTCACAGACCTGGACATGACTAAGCAACTTTCACTTCACTTCACTTCATATACATTAGTGTGTATGTGTCCATGCCAATTTTCCAATTTATCCCTCCCCCGCTTGCCTTCCAATAACCAGAAGTTTATCTTCTGCATCTGTGCTATTTAAATTTTTAGAATCCAGTATGTGTGCATGCATGCTTAGTTGCTAAGTCGTGTCCAACTCTTTTACAACCCTGTGGACTGTAGTCCACTAGGCTCCTCTGTCTATGGGATTTTCCAGGCAGGAATATTGGAGTGGGTAGCCATTTCCTTCTCCAGGGGATCTTCCGGACCCAGCGGTTGAACCTGAGCCTCCTGCATTGGCAGATGGGTTCTTTATCACTGAGCCACCTGGGAAGCCCAGAATTCAGTATATTTTTCTCTTAATGAAAAGAGAAATGTAAGCTGATAATGGTGCTGTTTCCCTTGATTGTAAATACAGTTGGGTCTTTCTGATTATCAACATTTTAAAAGTATGCTCTCAGCTACACTGCTGTCACTTAAAAAGGGGAAGAAAGAACTCATCTAATCCCCAAAGTCCTATTAACTGTTGAATAGAAATTATTTATTCTACATTAAAATAAGGTCATCGAAATGCATGCACTTACAATTTGCAGATATGGTATACTGACGTTAAAACTGTCATTCATATTTGCATGCCACACAATTCTCACATTGGTAATAAAAAAGGTTCCTAAATTTCCCTGTAAAGGAGAGTGATGAGAGGGACATCAGTGATCATGTCTGAATACTTACTCTTTATTTTCTAAGCACGAGAATAACTGATTAACACAGCAGCATAAAATACCAGAATTGAGCATTATGAGGAGTTACTCAGATGTGGAGCTGTCTATATCCTATAGCATATTTATCATAGTCTACAACTAGAACTTTTCTAGTGAGCAAAGTTTATTCACAATTTAAGCTTATGATTCCATGTTTAGCAAGAGCTCTTTAATCACAATGTTTTACCACAGTGGTTATCAATTGAAACTAGGCTGTAACACCCATGAAGGTTGGAAACTATTCTTAGTAAGAGACAATTTTTTTCTAGAAATTGATTTGTTTCTTATTCCCATTATTAGTTGCTTATATGTTTCATCTGGTTATAATTTCAAGAGGAAATGAAAAGTTACAATAATGGATGTAGGAGTCACCAAGTGAGTTAACATGTTTAATTCCACAAAGACTGGATTAAAAGGCTCCCATGACAGTCCACGCTGTGACTCTCCTCAATTACCCTAGGTTATCATGCTGTGGAGGGTACTGCAGTAAGGGAGGAAGAGTGAGACTGTGGGATAAACTAGATGCAGAAGTCACCTAAGTCTTTAGGGCCCAAGTTTTTCATCTGTAAGTGAATAATAAGAGACTGGACTAGATGATCCTCTAAGGTCCACTTAAGCTCTAAAGTTTACATAAAACAACTGTTGCTAAAAAGAGTATAAGGATATGAAAATCAGAGTATTATTTATATCAAGTGCTATAATGCTAATATTAAGAGTTAAATAAATATACAAACCCAATCATATATGGAAAAATGATTACCAAAGAAAGCACCACCCAAAAGGTTTGTTAGTTCTGTGCATGGTACCTGATCACTGGATAAATTCCATACTCCATTGATTTTATTATATATATTTTCTTGTGGTAATAATCTTAGTTGCTTATTTTGAATTAGAGCACTTCTCAATTTAAAATCACGATACATTTTAGAAGTTTCATATGCTCTATTAAAAAAAAGAATAAAAGATTAATTCAAACCGAAAATGTGGTTTTCTTAGATTATGTCTACTTATCTACAAAAATACACAGTTGTACATCACTCAAATAGCTATTAAGGTAAGTTAAAAAAAATTTTTGTTAATAAATTTTGGTGATTACAGTCTTTTGTACTATATCTGTTTGTCATTTCAGTGTAGTATTTATAAATTTTTATTTTATTATTATTATTATTATTTTTTTTTTTTAGTATTTACAAATTTTATCTTGGTAACCTAAATTTGAGATGTCTAATTTTAATATATACAGTATGGCACAAATGAGAAGAAGCAAATTTTTTCTTTAAGCTAAAAAACAATGCTTGTAAAAATAGACACGAATATTAATTTTTCTATCAAAAAGCTTCCCTTCATTCCTCTGTTTTTAGGTAAAAGCACAATTATTCTCTTAACATAAATAGGAGTACAATTACTTTTCCACTGAAACCTGAAAACTTATGCCCACATCTACCTATATATAGAAAATTAGAAAGAATCTGTATCAACTCCAAAAGGAACTCTAAGACAGAGTATGTATCTGTGTGTGCATAATAAGTTCCTAGACTTTTTCTTTCTGTGTTTCCCTACTGATAAATAATAAAAACAGGAGAAAACTCTGATTAACTTTTGGTTAATTCTAACTTTTAACTCCACAAAAATACAGGCTAATTTACCCTTTTATTAAAGCTAAAGTGTTTTCTTGGCCTGAACAACTTTAGAAGTCATTTATATAAGTTATAATATGTATTGTTAAATTAATGATTTTTACTTTAATCTTCTAATGTATGAATTACAAAACAGCAGAATTTTAGCATTTGCCCATAAATCTTAATTTCCTTTAGGACTGTAATCATCAGTAGTTAACCAGTGGAAAAAATGGACATTACTTCTCTATGAATTGTTTTGGAGGAACACGAAACATTTTTATACTATTAAGAAAAAGGAGCTTCCTGGCTCCCTTCATACTCCATTTCATATTACTTCTCTAGGTGAGATAAAGAGATATGAGTCAGGTATGTGCTTAAGAGAACTAAAATAAAACATGGTTTAAAAAAAAAAATGCTTTCATACAAAAACTTGTATATGCATGTTCATAGAAGCATTATTCCTAATAGCTAAGAAGCAGAAACAACCCAAACGTCTATCAGCTAATGAGTGGATAAACAAAATATGTGTCCATATAATGGAATCTTATTCAGTTATAAAAAGGAAAGATATAATATATGATACAACACGTAGCATCTCTGAAAAGATTACATAAGTGAAAGAAGTCAAACATAAAATGTCACTATATTATGTGATTACATTTATATGAAATGCTCAGAACAGGCAAATCCATAGAGACAGAAAATAAACCAGTGGTTGCCAAGAGCCACAGGGAGGAGGGAATGGGGAGTGGCTACTATAAGGGTTTCTTTTCGGGGTATTGAAAATATTCTGGAACTGAGTAGTGGTGAATATATTAACACGAACAAATTGTAAACCTTAAAATGGTAAATTTTATGTTATGTGGATTATATCTCTAGGAAAATCAAACCATTATATAGATTAAAAAATCATCAACAAAATTTTAAAAAATAACTAGGAAACTAATAAATTTGCAATACACATAATAGTAAAATTAAGAAATTTACAACAGAAAACTACATACATAGCCAAAGAGTATGAATAATTTCAACATCACTAGTAATAAAAGGAATTCAAATTAAAACAACATAATAAAACACATACATACTATATGTCTGCATGTAAAAAAAAAATCTTATGTGTGTGTACTTTTTTTCTCCTGGCCTGGCATCTTAGCCAAACTTTTAAGAAAATCACACTAATTAGGGATGGTTTAAAAAAGAAAAAGAGCTGAGGTAGTAAAAGAAGAGAATAGCTAAACAAAAACCCAAAACTCTAGAGAAATCACCCAATCATGCCTTCTACTGTTAGAAAAATAATAATAATTCCTTAATTGAATTATTCAACTTGGTTATCTACCAAGTTGAATGTCTCTGTTTCACTTTTTAACTATCTGGGTAGCTAATTTAACAGACTCTTCAGCAGTCTTATGTGTTTTATAAACACCGTCAAAGTGAAAGTGAAAGTCGTGCTTAGTCGTGTCTGACTCTTTGCGACCCCATGGGCTTTACAATCCATGGAATTCTCCAGGCCAGGATACTGGAGTGGGTAACCTGTTCCCTTCTCCAGGGGACCTTTCCAATCCAGGGATCGAACCCAGGTCTCTCACATTGCAGGCAGATTCTTTACCAGCTGAGCCACCAGGAAATACCTTCAAAGTGTTTATTAAACAGTAATGTAACATGTTCTATGTATCTTTGTGAAGTCTGCAACAGACCTTGGAGGAAGGCAGCACCACATGTCAATATTTTATCCTCTAAACCTTTATATCATAAAATTACCTTAAAACTATTTAGTAATCTATCAAGTATTACCATACCTGTGTACTGCAATCACAGAAGTATAAAGTCTAGGACTTCCAGGAACCAAATTCGTAAATATAAACTCAAAACGAGTACTGTTACATTTTGTTAGTACATAAAGAGCTTCAGTTTGGCCTCGTAATTTCTGTAAGGACAAATTTTAAGAGCAATTTCTCATTTACAGTGAAAACAAACATCAGCCTCAGATATCTACTGTTTCCTCACTATATATATTTCAATAAGATTTTTCCAACTTACAGAATTAGCAGTCCTTGTTGTAATATTCAATATGCAGTTGTAACCAATAGCTAAAATTCAAAAGTAAAGAATTTAAAGAACATGATACACTGAACTAAGGGGAAAAAAAAAACCCATATATACATAGAACTCTGAGCTTAAAAAATCAAATATATATAAAAATACAACTTTAAAAAATTTTAAGAAATATCTACAAATTTAAATTAAATAATTAAAAGAAATATAAAGTTAATTCTGCCTCTTTTAAACAAACAAAAATAAGTCTAGCTGGATAATCTACAATAGTTTAAAAAACAAGTGAAACAACATTTAACACAATTAAAGGTTGTACTTTTTATTAGAATTTAGATCTCCCTTGAAACAGGTTATAGAAAATTTCAAAGTAAAGGAAAAAACAAAACCAAAAATCAATGTAAAAGCAATAATCTTATAAACATCCAAGAGATTAAATGGACAGATTGAAAAAACATTTCTTTTGCATTAGCATGTAGTCCGTGGTTTGTCTAGGATCTCTTAAGTTTTTATCAATCAAAACTTTTCACATATTTCATGGTATAGCTTTTTTTTTTTTGGTATCAAGAGCCACTGTGCAAGCTGATGTGACAAATTACTTTTTCTTACATGCTTTCTAACAAATATACTTACAAAGATTGACTCTGGGTAATGCCAAAGAGTGCCAGACAATTCTTAAATTTGTTACTAAGAGTCTACCTAAAAGCAAACAAACAGAACATCAGGTTACCTTACCTAAGGACCCACTTTTGCAGTACCAAATGAGATGGACATGAAACTTCCGGCCCAGCATCAACAGCAACACTTGTAGATGTTTGTTACACATTTATTAATTGAAAATACTGATTGAGCACATAGATTCTAGGTGAGGTATACAATGTGTGATTTAGAATCCCAGAGAAACAAAATCTGACAGTTAATAGAAAAAATACAGGTATTCACTGCCAACAGCTTGGTTTAACTCAACTGATAAAGGAGAAAACTTTGTCCTTTTTTTTTTTCTCTTTAGAAGATGTTCTGGGGGTCCTAGCAGGTCAAATGCAGCCAACTGAGTATGTGTGAGAGACAGTATAATTACTAAGCCATTCAGTGAAATTACCTTTCTCAAATAACTCTTGTATACACATGAATTCCTGTCATATGAGTGCTCTCTTAGCGGTTCTCATTTAAATGAGCCATATATTTTTTTTTTTTTTTGCTACAAGCAAATTTTTTCCTCATATGAAGTTATAGCTAGGCTGAAGTCTGTTAAAGGCTTATGCTTTTCATCCTTAGCCTCAAACTGATGTTCTTACACTGAAATACGTACAAAGTTAGATAAGCTTCATTTCTCAAAGTTTATCCTATAGTAGTCCCTATAGATGCCCCAAGGCAAAAAAAAAAAGGAAAGATAAATCAAGTAAATCTATGCATGGTAAACTATATGTCTTAGAAATATATAATACCATTGTGTGTGTGTGTGTGTGTGTGTGTTATGTTGCTTCAGTCGTCTCCGACTCTGCAACCCTATGGATTGTAGCCCACCAGGCTCCTCTGTCCATGCGATTCTCCAGGCAAGAATACTGGAGTGGGTTGCCATGCCCTCCTCCAGGGGATCTTCCCAACCCAGGGATCGAACCCACACCTCTTAGGTCTCTTGCACTAGCAGGCAGGTTCATCACAACACAGGATGCGATGGTTGGATGTCATCACCAACTCAATGGACATGAGTTTGAGCAAACTCTGGGAGATACTGAAGGTCAGGGAAGTCTGCCATGCTGCCTTCCATGGGGTCACAGAGTCTGATTTGACTTACTGACTGAACAACAACAACCTTGTTTACCGCAGCATTTCTTCACCAAATTATAACCATGGAATTCTTTTGATGAGTAATCTATAGCCATAACATACTCCTTCCTCCATGAAAAAACCCCTAGTATATCTAAAATCAGAGAAACTAAGCCTGTGTGAATGCCAGAGTGAGATGCAATAAGCGATTCTAAAAACAAAGGCAGGCATCTCAAGGGAAACTGTAGAGCATTACATGATATGTTGACAAATAGTAAGTCACCTAGCATGGCTAGAGTGTAAAGCTCCCACAAGACCACAGAAGACTGGTCTTCTGGACTGCCTGCATCAACTGGGGTCAAACAGAAAAGAGATGGATCACTTAAATTAGGTTAACTGAGGTTTGTTTACAGAAGGACTTATTACAATAGTATCAGGAACCACAAGCGACATATAATGCTATTTCCTATCTTATTCTCCAGCTAATATAACTTGACATTTTAAATTTAAACCAGAAACATAAAATACATTAGAGATATACTCACCTCTATCCCCATTATTTCCTTTGGTGTCTTCAACTGAATCTAAACAATCAATAAGGACTTCTCCTGGTCTTGTTTTCATTTGTCTAAAATAAATATAAAGGCTTTACTATTTTAGCTACAACACCCGCTTACAATCATCGGAGAGAAAAGACATCTGTATATAACAGACAAAAGTATAAATGATCTAGTACCAAATGTTCAGCCATTTGAAAATAAGGTTTGCAAGAACTTAAAGATCCTGGCGATCAAGTGGGGCCTGGAGTGACCAGGGACATGCAGAGAAGCCAGAAATATAGAGAAAGGATTTAGAGAAATAAGAGAGAAGAGAATCCATGATTAAAGACCTTAGAAGTAAGAAATGATAAGAGAATGTGGGGGCCTGGTTGGGGAAGAAGGTACATGTTGAGAGAGAGTAAAAAATACAATAGGATAAGTGAGAACAAACCAGATTATGGAGAACTAGAATGCCAGTCAGACAGATATGGGTTTTATCTGGTGTACAGTGGAGAAGCCCCAGAGGTTTTTGTGTAGAGCAAAGAAGTCATGCAGTTACAGAAGGAACGGATTAAAGCAAAGCAACATTAAGACTTGGTAAAAAATCAGATAAAGGAGACAAAAGAAAATAAAGAATGAAGAATAGGTTGCTGACTAACAGAATGCAACCTAGAGTGTCCATAAAAAAGAAAAAGAAAAAAAGAAAAACCCAGCAGAATATGTGGTGGAGCTTTCTAAAACATTCTCAATAAAACTAACTCAATGATCTATTGGAAATACAGACATGATCATATTGCCTTCCTGCTTCAAAGCCAAGTTATTCCAATACCTAGAAGAAGGAAGTCCAAAATCCTCAACTGAATATTTCATAATCTGGCTAATTTACCTTCCTATTTGCACCTCTTCCCTCTACTTGCCAGATCCTGCCTTCTAATCAATGAGATTTATACCTCTAAGACTCTGTATCTAATTTTTTTTCCTTCCTTTTTTCTGGAATACTCTCCCCCTGTCTCCCCTAGCAAGGTCCAACTCATTCATCAGGGCTCAATTCAGATATTATTTTTTCTTGGAGGCCTTCCCTAGGAAGAATGGACTTTTTTGTTTCTATGGTCTTCCACCTTTTTGTTCATTTTTTTCAATGATGGTATTTACCACATTTTTAATATCCTGCACTAATGTATCCCTGCACTAGAATGGTGGGGTGGGTGGGGTCATTTCCTATTATTTTGTATCTTTATTTATTTTTTAATTTTTTTGCATCTCCAACCATGGGATTCTCCAGGCAAGAATACTGGAGTGGGTTGCCATTTCCACCTCCAGGGGTTCTTCCCCACCCAGGGATCCAACCTGCTTCTCTTACATCTGCACTGGGAGGTGAGTTCTTTAACACTAGCGCCACCTGGGAAGCCCCAGTTATCAGCACAGTAACCAGCACATACCAAGGATTTGATAAATGTTTAATAAACTGAAAATGTTTATGAAATGGACATTTGCTTGATTAAGAACTTTACAGGGATAATAGAAAAAGTCAAACAATGTGTGCAACATATTACTGTCACATAACTACAAATTGCCTTCTCTCACAACTGTCTTAAACGATCCAAGACCATCTTAGTAATAGATATCTAAGCCACAACTGAGTCTGGGAAATTAATATTTCATTTTTTCCACCGAGGAAAATTCTGTTCATAATAAAGAATCATGAGAAGTGGCTAAAAAGCAGCAAACCATTACTAAGAAACTTAGCTTTACTATTTTTCAACACATAATACTCAATGTTGGATGGCATCACTGACGCAATGGACATGAGTTTGAGTAGGCTGAGGGAGTTGGTGATGGACAGGGAAGCCTGGCATGCTGCAGTCCATGGGGTCGCAAAGAGTCGGACACGACTGAGCGACTAAACTGAACACCCAATGGGCACTTTTTCTTGGACTGCTGGCAGCAAGTTTCTAACTATTCTTTAAAACATAAAATTTCCTAAAACAGGATTTCTGTTTGAGAGACTTCAAAAGGAGGTTCCTTCTTACTGTTGATTTAGATGAATAACCAGATGGAAGCTTACCGTGGGAATAAAGTTTGCATGCTTGGGGATTCTAGAGAATGCTTACTCCCGCTTCCTTCGGAGACTCAAGCTTTAGAATGAAGTCATTTTTCTAAGGGCCAGCAATGTATGTCCTTATTCTAGACCTAGTTTCAGAATCCTCGTTTCCTGAGTCGCTGCCCCAGGTTCCTTCCACCACACAAAACTGGCACGGCAAGTTCACTGGGGTGTACTAGACCCCCAAGCCCTCGGCGGTCCCGGCCGTGTTTGGGCTCAGCTTCCTCATAGATTCCCCGGGCCAAGACAGGGCTTGGGATCTTAAGGAACCGAAACGGCGTACAACCTAGACGAGCCCCGGCTGTGGCGCCTCGAGAGGGCCGCAGGGCCCCGGCCAGTCTGGGGTTTCTTGAGGCACAGCAGCGCCAACCTCCTCCCACCCTCGAGAGGCCCGTGAGCCGCGGGGTCGTAGACTCCGCCCGCGGGTAGAGAAATGGCGCTGCGACGCCTTCTACAGGCTCCAGGCCCCGGGGGAATCTTGGCGACTCACTGTGAGTACACGTCGAAGCGGACATCCCGGTCCTCCCAAAGCGCGTCCAGCACCGACATGGTGACCACAGCGGTGGAGGCCGGGCGGCGTCCTGCCGGCTCCAAGGCAACCAGTCGCCTCTGTCACGACGTCTACGGAGGGTGCCGCGGCCCAAACTTCTTCCAGGTAACGTCGCGCTTTCCCGGCCCTGTCGGATTTGTGGATTTGAGGCTCCAGGCAGGATTCTGCGGCTCAAAGAAGCCGAGCTGGCCTCCGGCCAGGAGCGGGTGCTTGACTTCTGAGTGACCTTCCTCGCCTCCTTAACGCTCGTCGCAACCACCCTTTCCATTTCTCTACCCTGTCTAAAAATTCAGACTTAAGAAATTTCCCTGGCCATCTGCTCGTTAAGACTTTGCCCTTCCACAGGGATATACAATGGAAAAAAGACAACCTCTTTAACAAGTGGTGCTGGGAAAACTGGTCAACCACCTGTAAAAGAATGAAACTAGAACACTTTCTAACACCATACACAAAAATAAACTCAAAATGGATTAAAGATCTAAATGTAAGACCAAAAACTATCAAACTCCTAGAGGAGAACATAGGCAAAACACTCTCTGACATAAATCACAGCAGGATCCTCTATGACCCACATCCCAGAATTTTAGAAACAAAAGCAAAAATAAACAAATGGGACCTAATGAAACTTAAAAGCTTTTGCACAACAAAGGAAACTATAAGCAAGGTGAAAAGACAGCCCTCACATTGGGAGAAAATAATAGCAAACGAAGCAACAGACAAAGGATTAATCTCAAAAATATACAAGCAACTCCTCCAGCTCAACTCCAGAAAAATAAATGACCCAATCAAAAAATGGGCCAAAGAACTAAACAGACATTTCTCCAAGGAAGACATACAGATGCAAAAAAACACATGAAAAGATGCTCATCATCACTCATTATCAGAGAAATGCAAATCAAAACCACAATGAGGTACCATTACACGCCAGTCAGGATGGCTGCTATCCAAAAGTCTACAAGCAATAAATGCTGGAGAGGGTGTGGAGAAAAGGGAACCCTCTTACACTGCTGGTGGGAATGCAAATTAGTACAGCACTATGGAAAACAGTGTGGAGATTTCTTAAAAAGCTGGAAATAGAACTGCCATATGACCCAGCAATCCCACTTCTGGGCATACACACTGAGGAAACCAGATCTGAAAGAGACACGTGCACCCCAATGTTCATCACAGCACTGTTTATAATAGCCAGGACATGGAAGCAACCTAGATGCCCATCAGCAGATGAATGGATAAGGAAGCTGTGGTACTTATACACCATGGAATATTACTCAGCCATTAAAAAGAATTCATTTGAATCAGTTCTAATGAGATGGATGAAACTGGAGCCCATTATACAGAGTGAAGTAAGCCAGAAAGATAAAGACCATTACAGTATACTAACATATATATATGGAATTTAGAAAGATGGTAACGATAACCCTATATGCAAAACAGAAAAAGAGACTCAGATGTATAGAACAGACTTGTGGACTCTGTGGGAGAAGGCGAGGGTGGGATGTTTCAAGAGAACAGCATCGAAACATGTATATTATCTAGGGTGAAACAGATCACCAGCCCAGGTTGGGTGCATGAGACAAGTGCTCGGGCCTGGTGCACTGGGAAGACCCAGAGGGATCGGGTGGAGAGGGAGGTGGGAGGGGGGACCAGGAGGGGGAATACATGTAAATCCATGGCTAATTCATTTCAATGTATGACAAAAAGCACTGCAATGATGTAAATTAATTAGCCTCCAACTAATAAAAATAAATGGAAAAAATAAAAAATAAAAAATAATGCCCCCCCCCCCAAAAAAAGACTTTGCCCTTCCAGTACTGAAGGCCCCGGGGTTGATCCCTGATCAGAGAACTATTAATAAGATGTTGCAAGCTACAGGGTGTGGCCCAGAAAACAAAAACTTTTTTTTTTTATTCACCTGTAAACATGTGCTACATTTAATGAAAAAGCAAGGATAATGTAGAAAGTCTGAGAGTCCTGGAAGATTGTTCCCAGATCTTAAAACTTAAGCAGTAAAACCCCAACATTTGCACAGATGGATGTCAGAATTGTTATATGCCAGTCCTTCATTTGTACTTTCCCTCTGCCTCCCTGTTGAAGTGGAATGTCTCTGTTCTCTGACTGTCCCACCATTGTATGATGGGAGTCTTGGGAGCACTAGTGTCTTTAGTTTCACAGGTCATCAAGGGGAATTGTGCTTCAAAGAAATGTACTTAATGGCTTATAGCCAGGAGCTTCATTTGTCGTTGTTGTTCAGTCGCTAAGCTGTGTCTGTTTCTTTGTGACCCCATGGACTGCAGCACAACAGGCTTCACTGTCCTTCATTATCTCCCTTGGTTTGCTCAAACTTACGTCCATTGAGTTGGTGATGCTAGCCAAACATCTTTGTTCTGTCGCCCTCTTCTCCTTTTGTCTTTAATTTTCCCAGCATCAGGATCTTTTCCAATCAGTGGGCTCTTCACGTCAGGTGGCCAAAGTATTGGAGCTTCAGTTTCAGCATCAGTCCTTCCTGTGAATATTCAGGAGCTTCATTTGCTCAGATGTAAATGATTTAGATGATGAGATCCTGAATTTTGAACTGATGCTGTAATGTCAGGAGAAGGCAATGGCACCCCACTCCAGTACTATTGCTTAGAAAATCCCATGGACGGAGGAGCCTGGTGGGCTGCAGTCCATGGGGTGGCGAAGAGTCAGACACGACTGAGCGACTTCACTTTCACTTTTCACTTTCATGCGCTGGAGAAGGAGATGGCAACCCACTCCAGTGTTCTTGCCTGGAGAAGCCCAGGGACGGGGGAGCCTGGTGGGCTGCCGTCTATGGGGTCGCACGGAGTTGGACACGACTGAATCAACTTAGCAATAGCAGCTGCAGCTGTAATGTGATGAGAGAGAAACCTTTGGAATGAGAGAACATTTTTTGTTGTTGTCTTTTGTTTTTCTTTGGGAGAGGCATGAATTGTTGAGAGCTATAGGCATAATCCCAGGTGGCCTCTAAGAGTTCCACTCCTGGTGTACATACCTTATGTAATCCCTCCCCCTTGAGTGTGGAAGAACCTATGAATAGGAAAGGATATCAGTTCTATGGTTAGACTATGTGGTGTAGCAAAGATGAAAGAGTTTTGCAGATGCAATTAATACCTTTTGAATTAGGAAAAAGGGAGACTATCCTTGATGGGCCTGAACTTATCAGGTGAGCCCTGAAACTAGATTTTCTTTAATGAAATAGTCTCCAAGTTGTGATAGATCTACATAGCTAGGAAATGAGGGCAACCTTTAAGAGCTAAGAGCCAGCAAGAAAACAGTCACTCCTGTCATCCACCTACAAGGAACCAATTCTGCCAAGGAACCTGAATAAGCCCAGAAGAGGTCCCCAAACCTCAGATGAGATCACATCCCTGCTGACATCTTGATTTCAGGTAAGACCCTGAGAAATAACTCAGCCAAGACTCTTGACCCACAGAAAACACTGTGAAACATTAAGTTTGTATTGTTTAAACATCTAAGGTGGTGACAGGTTATTACAGCACTATTAAATTAATGCACTGACATCTCAGTAGGATCTTTGAAATGAAGGTTGAAATGACTATTTTTTGGTCCTTTTAACTGGATCTTCATATTCTTTGTTTCCCAGACTCTTTTTTTCTCCTGCCTTCGTAAGTTTTTTTGTGTGTGTTTTTACTTTTTAAATCAATTTTATTGAGATATGATGTACATATAATAAAATGTACCTATTTTAAGTGTACTCTTTGATGAATTTTGACAAGTGTATTCATCCACATAGCCACTTCCATTATGAAGCTACAGACCATCTCCATCACCCCACAAAGTTTTTTCTTGCCCCTTTGAAGTCAACTTCAAGTTCTGGAAACAATTTGTGTGCTTTCTATCACAGCTGATTTTTTTTTCATTATTTCCGTTTTGGTTAAATATACATATATAGATAGATGGATATAGATAGATACAGATATTAACTTCTTATTGGTTATATATCTGAAAATATTTTCTCCGATTTCATAGGTTGTCTTTTTGGTTTTTTTTGATGGTTTCCTATACTGTGCATGAGCTTTTAAGTCTAATTAGGTCCCATTTGTTTATTTTTGCTTTAGGAGACAGATTCACAAAAATATTGCTGTGATTTATGTCAATCAGTATACTGTCTTTTTCTCTAGGAGTTTTATTGTTTCTGGTCTTAAATTTAGATCTTTAATTCATTTTGAATTTATTTTTGTATATGGTGTTAGAGAATGTTCTAATTTCATTATTTTACATGCAGTTGTCCAGTTTTCCCAGTACTACTTATTGAAGACACTTCTGTTTCTCCGTTGTATACTCTTGCCTTCTTTGTTGTAGATTAACTGGCCACAGTGCAAGTTTACTTCTGGGCTCTCTATTCTGTTCCATTGACCTATGTGTCTGTTTTTATGATAGTACCATTCTATTTTGATAACTGTAGCTTTGTAGTATAGTCTGAAGTCAGGGAGTGTGATTTTTTCCAGTTCTGTTGTTCTTTGTCAAAATTGTTTTGGCTATTCAGTGTCTTTCATGTTTCTATACAAATTTTAAGATTATTTGTTCTAGTTCTGTGTAAAATGTCATTGTTATTTTGATATGGATTGCACTGAATCTGTCAATTGCCTTGGGTAGTATCTAGCACCATTTGTTGGACTACTCTTGCCTCCCTACTCCTTTTAAAAACACCTGTTTATTCTTAACCTAGAAGCAAAATTAAGGCCTTAGGGGGGAAATGTGTAGCATTAGAGCCTAGTGAAACAATGAATAGTCTGGATAGCAAAGAAGCATAGAAGAGTCAAAACAAGAATAAAAAGCTAGTTGTTATCCTTATGTCACTGAGTCATCTCTTCTCCCTACTCCACCCATCTCCTTTTAAAAATGATTGTCTTTATTAATGTTGAAATTATTAATGCTCTAAGGTATCAGCCTTCATCTTCATTGAGTGTATACAGTATTTTGGATGCCCCAAGATGTTGTCTTTTCCTTTGTAAAG